ATCTTCGTGTGTGCATTGCGTATGCCATATAGTTCATATGCATTGAGTATGCCATTCTAGGTTCATAGCATTGCGTATGCTAGTTGCATGATTGCATGTCATCCCTCGCATACCAGCATGATTAGGTTGCATTGCATTTAGGGTTGCATGTTAGTCGCATTGTGCATGCCATCTTGTTGCATTGTGTTTGGAGTAGGGTTAGTCCAAACACGGAAAACGAGGGACGTTTCGTACTCAAAGTGATGAAACGTGCCTCGATTCTCAGTCGCCGACACTCCGGATTACCCATGATGGAGTTTAGGCCTTATTGTGTTCATATGTGCATTCATTTCATATCGAGTCGCGCAATTCGACTCCTCGGCCATCATGCATCGAGATGCATGATTGGTGGCACGAGGATCGAGGACTACACTCTCTAGAGCTCATGCAATGATGGGGAGAATAGCCCTGCACACATATGTTGAAATACTTTGCCATGCCCCTTTCTTCCTCTCTGTTCCAGCAAACCAGAAACCAACACCCTTCTAGAGCTTTTACAGTGTTCCGAGATCAATTGCAAACAGAGGCAAATCGGGGCATCGCGAGGAATTTTCCGACAAGGCGACTCGAGCATGCATGCATCTTTCATCATTCGGAATAGAGCTGAGGCGGTCCATGGATTGCATGCTAGTTTATTTCGTTTCTTTGTTAATTTGTTAATTAATTAGGATTTTGTAATATTTAATTAGCTAGATTAGTTAATTATTTATTTGGTTGTGTAATATTTATTCGGACCCTCTGCGAGAGGGCAATGTTGTAATAAGTTTGCGTGTGTGTGATGTATGTTTACCAACCCCACGTCTTTCTCCTTTTATTTACCAGCTTATGATGGTTAGTTTAGGGCATGTTTCAATTAGCATCCTTATGCTTTGCATGTTTGTATTCATTCATCTGTCTTGCATACACCGGGCTCGGCGCATCATGGGAACTGCATTGTACTTCAATTCCGAGTTGAATACATGATGAATTGTTGCATTTCATATGCCATTTTAGAATAGCCGAGCCTATTGTAGTTGCATTTTTGCATGTGTTGCATTAGGCATTTCAACATAGTTAGGATTCATGCATGATTTCTAATTAGCTTCTTTCTTTGGCTTGGAGTACACGGTAAGTGTTTATGCTTTAGTGTCCTTGCATGCGTGTGAGTGACTGCCATGATAGCATGCTTACCATGGAGCTAACTATTTATGTGATATAACTGCCTGAATGCTTGTGGGTGTAGGTTGGGTTATTTGAATTGGAACAATGTATTGAATGCGTTTTTTAAGCCCACTTGAGAATGGCAAAATCATGTTTTCTAAGTCCACTTAAGGGTGGCAAAATCCGCATTTTAGCCTACTTGCGAGTAGCAAATCACTTTAAAAAACAAACTTGAGATGTTTTGTTCCAATTCAGGCGACCCAGTCTATACTTGTATGTTGTGCGCATCACATAGTAGTTCTAGGCTAATAAATCGGAATAAGAGCACATATGTTTTCAAAACTCGATATCATGGTTAGTAGAGGCCGATTTTTGATCGGGCGAGCGGGGGTGCTCACAAAGTGATCTTCCTCAATCGTACCCAAGTTCCCGAGCCGGGACAACTTTGGTGATGACAGACATGTGGCCTTAGGCAACGAGTCAGGGTTTCCTAAATTCCCCCTAAAATAAAATATTTAGGTGGCGACTTTGTATCTGGCAAAGCAGTCCATGTTTGGCACTTCTTTCTAAAAATTTGTTTTCAAAACGATTTGTCGGATTTGGACTCTTTGATGATTCATCGGTCTTGCATTGCACTCTACAAGATTAGATACAGGACCATGACATTGAGTCCTGAACTGTAGTGAGCCCAATCAACAAAACGGGGGGATTTCTCCTGGGACGTTCGGGGACGTCTACAATATTCCATTTGTTTAATGACTAACTAGCATATCACCCGTGCTATGCACGGATTGTGTTTATAATTATCTATATATGTGAATTTTGATTTTTAATTTCTTTTTTAAATGTCTTCTTTTTTTTTTTTCCTTTTTCATATTATATTAAAGTTTAATATTTTGATAATAATCATATGTGTTGGACTTTTTAAGAATTTTTTTTTATGTTTGTTCTTAATGCATTAAAGTGTTATTATGAGAGTTAATAATCATATGTGTTGGGACTTTTTAAGGAATTCATATGTGTTGGATTTCAAAGAATTTTTTTATGCTTATTCTTAATGCGTTAAAGTGTTATTATGAGGGTAAGACTTGGGAGTTGGGAGAAGTTAATAAATGTTAAGATTTTTTTTTTAAAATCAAAAAATTATGAAATTTAGATTGGGAGATTGGAGCTCCCACGAGGCTTGGGGTTAAAAACCACATTTTGTCTAATATATAGTATAGATTAATTGGTTTAATGACTAATGGGTAACTAATGTCTGTTCACTAAGGAGTTATACTTGGATATGGGTCTAAGCCTATCTATATATATGCCTGTGATAGCCATCAAACACAGACGTTGTTTTGTGAATAGAATTGGCTTGAAACTCTGTTCCTTCCATTTTTCTCATATGGTTCAGTAAAAGTGTTCAATGAGTAGTTTTGTTTATACATTCAAGATTTGATTATTCAAGGATAAAGATTCAAAGGCTTGAACATCATGGCAGGAGGTATTCTTCTTTCTGAATTAAAATTATTTTAATTCTCAGAGCCAACCTTCTGTTATGTTGTTTAGTTTTTATTTCAAATTCTTACATCAAACTATTATCAATTTCGTGAATTGAATCAAGCCTATTCTATACATGTGATATTTGTATATTAATTCACACCATAAAATTTAACAATTCAGAATCATTGTACAATCAGAATGAGTAATTTATATTGCATAACTTTTGAATATCACTATGAAAGAAAAAAGGAAGCACTGTTGCAATAGTAAAGTCCGTCGTGATTTGTGCTAGTGGTATTTACATTTATTTATAACTTTCTCCTACTCTCAATCTATTTTATTTAGGAGACTTGTTGTGGTATTTTTGCAGGAACTCTACAGAATAGGGTGTAGAACAATGGTTGTAGCTGGGCTACCTCCAATTGGTTGTATCCCAATCCAAATGACTGCAAAACTTGAGATTCACAGAAAATGTATAGATCATTCAGATGCTCAATCTTATAATGCCAAGCTTTCAAATTTGTTACCTGAATTGCAATCTTCTCTTCCAGGGAGCAAAATTATCTATGCAGATATATACACACCGTTGGATGACATGATGAAAAATCCACAAAAATATGGTAAGCTTTAAAATCCCCAAGTTGATTTTTTTGCTATATCCTAGGATTGCATGAACTTATTTTTTAGTGCATTAAGAAACTATTATACCTGAATTCGTGTTTCTATTTTTATGAAGTCTTGGGTTAGCTTGGCCTTGACTACCAAGTCTTTCGTAAGGGAGAAATCTTGGGTTTCACTTTTAAGAGTATAATAGGAGGGTAAGATTTTCTTGCAATATGTATGAGTGTGATTTTCAACTCATCCGAAATGTTAATCTAACAATTAGCCACTAACTTTTGACAATCAAAAAAAATATATTTTTACGAAAATTGAGTTTTTTATTTTTCATTTATATATTTTTTTATTTTGGTGAATTTTTTTAATATTTTATGCAATTTTTTTTTATTTTTTAGATATACCTAATCTAGATAAACTTAAAAAGTATAATATTTGTGGGAAAAAAAAACTTTAAAAAGATTACCAAATACAAAAAATACAAGTGAATACAAAAATTCAACACATTTTCATATTTTGTTGTATTCAATAATTTTTTTTAAAAAAAAATTGTACAAATTTTATACTTTTTAAGTACACTAAGATTAAGTGGATCTAAAAAGTTTTTAAAAAAATGATTAAAATATTTTTAAAAAATCACTAAATACAAAAAAGAAAATTAGGAAAATTTGATACATTTTCGTATTTTGTTGTATTCAATGAATTTTTAAAATATTTTTGTACAATTTTTTTTACTTTTTAAGTATATTAAGATTAATTGAATCTAAATTTTTTTAAAAAAATTATTAAAAATACAAAAGTACTAATTAAAAACTCAACAAACCGTTTTTGAAAACTCAAAATGATTTCAACGTTTGGAACGGATTGAAGTAGGAAAGTAATCCCTCGTTGTTCATTTCAATAGGAATCACTTTACTAGGCTGAGTCGGAATTGATTCTGACACTTCCCCATGGGAATCTCACATTAATGTAGAAATTTTAGCTATATACAAATAAAAGGGAAAATTACAACAAAAAAAAATTCCAATAATTTGTAATTTGAGCCTTGCACTACAAGAATTTACACAATTGCCGAACACTTTTGCCGACCAAAAATTTTTTGGTTGCAAAAAAATGACATTTGGCGACTAAATATTAATTAGTCACGAATGATCGTTATTTTTGGCGACCAAATATTATTGGTCGCAGAAGGTTATATTTTGGAGACCAAAAAATGAGTTGGTCGCAGAAAGTGGTATACTTTTGCCGACCAACTACAAATTTGGTCGCGGAAGGTCATATCTTTTTTGGCGACCAAAAATTTGGTCGCAAAAAACTTATTTTCAGCAACCAAAAAAAATTAGTCGCCAAATTAGTACTTTTAGCGACTAATATTTTAGTCGCCGTTGATTGAGATTTAAGGCGACTAAAAAAGTTTGTCGGCGAAAGTACCTTTTCTGCGACTAATATGGTCTTTTGGTCGCCAAAAGTGTGGGGGGGAAATTTGAAACATGGAGGGGGGAAATGAATACCAATTCGTAAGAAATGAGATTATCCATTCCCGCCACTGCCATACGGGAATGGCTCTTTCGTTCCTCTCAGTCTCAGGTCGGCCATCGACCTCTCTCATCAGTTGCCTCGCCGCCCCTCCAGCTCCGCCGCCACCAAACCCTAACCCAACCGCCTTACCCTCCTTAACTTGCGCCCTCCAATGCCCTCACTTCCAATCGTACGCACCACCACTGCAGTTTCGAAGCTCCAGATCGAACCGATTTCGAAGCTCCATCGAAGCTCCAGATCTGAACTCTGACCCCTCGATTACTCGCATTTCAAGTAATATGCACATTTCGACCCAATTCTTCCTTTCCCAAGCCGCTCGACTCGGTACACTTTCGGTGAGTCCTCTCTCTCTCTCTCTCTACTTAGATATGTCCATGTATCTGTATATGTATTTGTTGATTATGTTGATCTTTAGTCTTTACAGCTTACCATGTAGAATATGAGATGTTATTAAAGTAGAGTTCAATGGGTTACTGATGATTTCCACATCTGAATTTGTGTTCCTTGATTAAGTGTATATGTATATATGTGTTTATTTTATTTTTTTATTTTTTTTGTATAGACACAAATTGGTGAATTTTGACAGTGTTTGTTCTTCAACTTGTAATTTGGTGATCATCTAATTCTTTATACCTTTCTTTGTGATTATTTGTTTTTCCTCACTGTCTCTTTCTTTCACACAAAGTGTTTGATAAAATGCCAAGGTGAAATTTATATAATTTGTTGGACTTGAAACTGATGCACACTGTGTATTATGTAACAATGAGAATTTGCTGAGAAATAAAGAAGAAATGGTTGAGTAGTGGAATGTGTATATATGAGCAGATCAAGTGAAGAAAAAGAAAGAAAACAGAGCTTCAAAGAAGAAGATGAGAAATAATTCTTATTTTCTGCAGATTCAATACATCAAACTTAAACCTGCAATCTCACACTTGGCAGCCCAAACTTCTACCATTGCACCCAACAATGGCCCCTTGTCAGTATTACATATTTGATGTTCAATAAACTTTCTGGTCTGACACTGCATATTGTCCTTCATTGACCCTTTGAATCATGGACTATTCTGTTGTCTAAGCCTCTAATAACCTTTATGGTTCAGTTCTATTACTTTATTCAATTTATTCTATAGTACTAGAACACTGTCATATTTCTATATAAATATAGATAGGTAGAAGTCAGTAGTTTACATGAAAAGTGTTAACATGTAGAAATTTGTTGTAAGCAGGGAAATGCTCAGAGACCGGAAGTGTGTGTAGTCACATGGAACAATGATGAGCTTGCAACAGATGCACTACCTGTCCATGGCTTTGAGCATTACAAGGCAAAGGACTATGCCCTTGCTCACGCTCCATTCTCAGGTAAAAGTGTGCAAGAGTTTATGAATTTGCATTCAAACAGTGGTAATACTTATGCATTTTTATGTAGGTAGCAGCTATGCAGGTGGGCAGTGGGCTGCTGGTGATGAGCCATTATACTATATTGTATCCCCAAAGGATGTAGTTATTGCAAAACCTAGGTTAGTTCAATTTTATCTTTCCTTAGTTTCTATTCCAATAGAATGTCAGTATGTAATTTTCCTATTGATAATTAATTACAGCACAAAAGGCCAGAATATTTATAATCCGAATACACTTTTCACATATCCAAAATACTTTCATATTTTTTTATTCACTTTTTACATATTTCAATACACTTTACACATTTTTCAACACTAATAACAGCCCTAAGGGCTGTTTTTATCATTATCGTTAATTATATCAATCTATATGCTATCTTATCTATAAAGTGAGAAGACACTTTTTTCGCACTTGTGAATCCAACCACTGCTTAATGCTATCTGTCAAGTTTAGTTCATGAGATGATTATTATGCAAACATTAGGAGTTATCTGTTTAAAGTTCTCCCCTGCTTCTCATCTTTTTCATATGTCTGCTCACCAAATGCAGTATCTTTACAATTCCAATTAAGCATAGGCTCCTCACCATTTATGGATATCTAAATCTGAATACTTCAAGTTTGTGAGAAGGTAGATAGAAGTGAAAAAAATCTGGAAGTTCTTATTGAAAAATAAGAAAATGGTGAAACAAATTAAGGAGGTGCATGGGCAGATAGGTGTCCCAGTTGGTTGGGGGGTGCTTAAGTAGACAAGTGTAGAATTCATCCATTAGTTTTAGTGAGTTCAATGAATTTTTTATTTAAAAAATTTAAGTGTATGTCATCTTAATATGGTGAGTGAATTGCCTGAAAATGGAATGCTTTAAATTTTAATTCACCTTGATAGAAAAAATTGTGGGATTTAAAAGCATAATTTTGATTCCTTTACTGCTCGCATTGTTTGTTTTGCCATTATATCGTCTCCTATGCCATATTAAAAATCACAAACTCTGTTGATTTACAAATGCAATTTCTTGTTGATTGCTAGGGATGCAGAAGATCATATTTCTTGGCTTCTTCAACATGGATGGCATGAAAAAGCTTTAGCAGCAGTTGAAGCTGGGCAGGGATGAAGTGAATGATGAGGTATTTCTGTTTAATTTAGTTTAACGGTTCATTTATTTATTTGCATTGTATTACTTACTAAATAAGTAATTGATGCATGATTTACATATGAAATGTTTACATTTTCTTTCCCATATTTTCATGGAAACAATGTAATATAGAAACCTACAATTTGTCTAGATTCTCTTATTTTTTGGAAGTAGGCTATTTATGTGTTGTTATTTTTAGTCATTCTGGGTTACTTTGTGAATATGTCAATTAATACCTAATGTTATAATCATGATATCAATAAATTTTCTAATTTTGCTGCTTCTTTAAATTCACTTTTTTTTTTAATGGTCTGCATCAAAGTTGTCAGGAAGATGCATTAGTTACAATTTTGAGAAAGAAAAGAATAATGTGGGTGCCTTCTGGGTTTAAGATATTGAACAATGTTACCCCATATGATAAAATCTGTTGTTTCAGTTTTTGATTTTCAATTGAACTTGAGAAGCAGCAGGCATGTGGAGCACTGGCCCAAGTTTTTTCTATTTTGTAACGCTGTAGTATAGCTACTGTGATTTTGGTATAAGCATTCAAAGTAGTCTATTCTGAATTGAGTGTATTACTTCACTGGCAGAATAAATGCAAAGCGGTAGAGCAACAGAAAAGACTGATGTTTATAGTTTTGGGGTTCTGGTTCTTGAAGTAGTGAGTGGAAAGTGACCCACTGATGCAGCATTTATTGAGAAGGGCTTCAACATTGTTGGCTGGGTACTTCTCTTCCCTACCCGTGTTTACACTGCTTTCATTCAAATATGTATGACATGATTGTGGAGCTCACAAGGCGAATTAAGCTTCTTATTTTCCTTGATTAATGATTTCATATGAATCTTCGAGAAAATTCTCTCCTCCTTGTTGTCTTTCCCACTCCAAACGCTGCCCATTTGGCTCTAAGCTGTGTATACTTGTGCAAAAACTAATTTTTAGCATATGGGTCTTTGTTTTTGTGGAGTTTTAGCATCTGGGTCTTGGAGTTTATGAAGTTTTGTGGACTGTGTGAAGAACAGTTTTGAGTCGCAAGACTGAATCTGAAAGGGTTCTACTTCATGTTATAGTAATGGTGGGTTTTGCTTGATGGGTTTCTGATACTAAGCTAACTTTTTGTTAGAGAGTTGTTTGGATGAGGCAATAATGTAGAGGTTGTTAGTTCATGTTAATGGTTTCTGGAATGGTTGGTTTTGGTGGCTTTGATAAGTGGGTGCTGTTGTACTGAAGGTAGAATAGAAAATGGAAAGAAGTGGGTTTATGTTGTGGAGAGTGGGATTGCTGGTTTTGACATTGTTGGAAGGTTCTTCTGCAACTCTTTCTCGTTCTGGTATAGACTATGAAGGTCAGTTTCTATTTGGGATGATTTCATTTTTTGTTTTTGTTCATTTTTGTTGTTTCTTAGAATTAAATGCATAAAGAAAGATACTAAGCTATTGCAGTTATTGGAATTACAAGCCAAAAATTTGGCAGATTTTCTAGTTTTGGCCTTATTACTTAATTGTCTGTTCCAAATTTGATTTCCGGTGAAGATAAAAGTTCATCCTCTACCCTCTGTGGTTATCTTTCGCTTTTTCTTTGATCTTTTTCATGTTGTATGTGGGAAAAGTATACTTTTATTAAATGTAGAATGGTAAGTTCTTTTTTTGCTCCTGTACTTGGGCTACATCTCCAGCCCCTGCTCAAATTTGAGTAAAAAATTTATTTCATATGAACCACTCCAACAGACAAACTCTGATTTAAGCACAAGTTTGTAAAAGCTTTACTAATGGCAAAGTGGTAAATTTGAGAGCCAAAAAAAATAAAAGAAAAGAGAGAGCATTTGAGTCTCCCTTGATTTGGGTAAAAATCGGAGTAAAACTCAAATTTGGTATAAGTTTGGGTCAAGGAGTGGAGGGGTTTTGAGTATTTGAGTTTGATATAGGTTGGAGTGCAAGATTGGAGATGCCCTTAGTGCCTTCATGGCTCTGCAAGAGCATTGCTTTCATTTATTTTTAGCATTCTTGTAGTTTTTTTTTACCCTTTTCAAGTCCATGTGGACCTATCACAAATTTTATTCTAATAATTTAAATAGTTCATTTAATGAAAAAAGTTAATCTGATAATTATAATATTTTTATTTTATCACATTTATTAAAAAAATTATTTGTAAAAATACACTTATTTGTTGCCCATTTTGTTATAAGATTTTGACTTATAGCAGTGATCGAGAACTTGGAGCTCTATACATGTGACATTAAATAAAAAAAAAAGTCAAAACATCGTATTAATGGATGAGCCCACCTATTAGAGCTCCTTTACGCTGTGTTTGGTTGGAGGATTTGAAGAGGGATTTGGAAAGAGAATGGGAAAAGTTTGGTGAAATGTGAATAAAATATACCTACATTTCACCTAGTTTCACACACCTTTTCATTTTCCCTTTCCAAATCCCTCCCCAAATCCCCCAA